ATTTCCATGTTTTAAATAGCAAGACAGAGAGACGGACTCAAAATTTTCTGAAACGTATTATTCCAAATACACTTGGGGTCTAAAACCAATATTTCTATGAGGCACATTCTCACCGTATAAAAGTGTATATAGCCTCATTAGCCATAGAGCTGGGGAATAAAAATTATGATGTATCCAATATAAAGGTTTTTTTTAACAGACGGATTTTAATCTTGCCGGCATACATTTTACCATGTTTTCCGTTTGGTCTGGGGGATGGTGGCCTTGTTTCTAAACAGCTTACTTAGACAATATTAGCATCTGTTGGTCATCACAATCCTTCTCCCAATTTCAAAACTGATGTCATTCGTTTTATTTATGGCGGTACCAAGTTCCACAGTTGGTCCGAGTCTACTGGACGTCTTGCACGTTGATACCATCAGCTTGGTCTTCTCGTCGTTTACTGCCAGACCCACTATAGCAGACTCTTTCTCAATTTGTTCAAAGGTGGCTGTTACCGTACAGAGTTAAAAAGATCAGACTACAAACTGTCACCTTGTCTGAATCCCCGTTCGGTATTGAAGGGCTCCGATAGGTCCTTTCCGACATTAACAGCTGACCACTTAAAGTTATCCTGCATAGCCGTATTAATTTTGCAGGAATGTCGAACATAGACATGGCTTTAAACACCTCTGAACGTATAAGGCGGCTTTATAGTCGACGTGGTATGTGTCGATTTGTTTTTCGTGGGTCTTTTCCAGGATTTGGCGCAGAGTGAAAATCTGGTCAATGGTGGATTTGCCAAGTCTGAAGGCGCATTGGTAAGGTCCAATAATGTCATTGACCATTGGCTTCAATCGTTCACATAGCACACTGAATAGCACTTTATATGCGATGGGAAGAAGGCTCTATAGTTGACACAAATCGTCTTGTCTCCTTTATTGTGCACGGGACACAGGATGCTGAGGTTTCAATCATTGGGCATGCATTCCTCTAGGCAAATTGTACTAATCAGCTGGTGCATGCTCCTGACAAGCATTCGACCACCAGTCTTGAATAGTTCGGCTGATATCCCGTCGGCTCCTGCTGCTTTATTGTTCTTGAGCCGATTAATTGTTTTTATGACCTCATCTTGGCTAGGTAGTATACACTTTAACCATCATCTCTTATTAGTTCTGGGGTATCTTCTTCACTGCCACTAATTGATACCAGAAGCTTTTAAAAATGCTTCTTCCAGATCCTCAACACGCTGTCTGTATCTGTCACCAGGTTTTCTTGTGACATTACGAAACTCCTGATCGTACCATGGGTTTCTTGGTGGTGGTTTTTGGTACCCAAGTGTTGCTTTTGCAGCAGTTTGTAGGGAGTGGGCAATTCTTTGTCATTGTGCTTCTATACTATTATCTGGACAAAGAGTACTATCGTTAAGCAGAAAACTCGACGTCGAGTTTCCGTGTTGTGTTAGATCGCACCTTTGCTGCAACATTAAGACGAGTGCAAACCTTGGCTGCTACAAGGTAGTGGTCCGAATCGATATTCGCTCCTCGGATCGATGGAACACTAGATGAATGCGTTCCATCTACCGCAACATGATCAATTTGATTCTTCGTTGCTTGATCAGGAGAAATCCAGGTGGTCTTGTGTATATCGAGATGCAATGTCATGGCCAGGGCAGCGATCTTATGCGGTTTCTAGGTGCTCATAAAATATGTCTTTGGTCTGCTCATCTTTGTCTTCGGTCGAAGCAATGGCGCAAATAAGACCGATGTAGAAGAACTTCGATTTTTTGCAGATTATAGCAATTCGGTCATTACTGGAGTGAATCTGGAGACGAGGTCTTTTATTCTCCTGTTAACCATAAATCCGCAGCAAAATTCATGTCTCGTTTCATGGCAGCTATAATACAGTGCGTAATCGTCTGATTTACTTACGCCTGTCCCTTTCCATCGCATTTCCTGTAAGGCAATAATATAGGCTTTGTACTTCTTGAGTACATCCGCCAAAGCGAAAACTGCGCATGTTCTGTACAACGTGCGCACATTCCAAGTGCAGATTCGCAGATCGTGGTCCTTTATACGTATGCAGGGGTCGTCAACATAGGAGGGGTTTTCCGAGTGTGGGCAAGTTCTTATGGGTGAACTCGCGGCACATATTAGCTCACTATTTCAACGGGAGGTCAGTGTCCACAATTGAGATGAAAAAGGGGCCAAGATAAGCCTGGACTTCGCCATGCTAAAGCCAATCAGAGCCGTTGATTGGTGTCTGTCATCCTCTACGCCACGGATCGAATAATATTGAGTATTTTCGCTATTTTCCGTTGAGATTTTCCCATTTCAGCATGGTGAATAACTAATTTGCTCTCGGCAATCGTTGTGTTGCGTCCCATTGTCTCAAATACTCAGGATGGCTAACCAAATAAGCAAATTCACGCGTAAAATGTAAAACAATATCTGATGCAATATTTTAATCGATATTCCATGAGAAGATTGGCTTTTAACCGTTATTAAGTTGTAAATAATACCGGTGGATATTTTTCACTGTACTGTTGAAATTGCTTTTGTGCAACAATAATAATTTTTATATCCTTCACCACACTGTGGTACAGGGTATTATGTCTTTGTGCATATGTTTGTAACAGGCAAAAGGAAACGAGATAGACACATGGTTCCTTTTGAGAATATGCATAGAATCACTTTCTAAGTCGATTTATGCATGTCCGTCCGTCCGTCCGTCTGTCTGTCTGTCCATGTATTTTTGTGAGCAAAGTACAGGTCGCATTTATGATCCGAATTGGATGAAATTTGGCACAGCTCATTTGTTTGGCCCAAGGACGAACCCTATTGAAATTGGGAAAAATCGGTTCAGATTTAGATATAGCTCCCATATATATATTTAACCGATTTAATGTAAACGGTCCCTATATATCTTTCGATTTGCACGTAATTTGGTACAGCATAATGAATTAGGTCTAGAATGATGTCTGCCAAGTTTCGTGAAAATCGGTCAAGATTTAGATATAGCTCCCATATATAGTTTCGTCCGATTTCATGTAAATAGTGCCCCAAAGTCCCTATATATCTTTCGATTTGCACGAAATTTGGCATAACGTACTGAATTAAGCCTCGAGTGGTGTCTGCCAAGTTTCGAGAATATCGGTCCAGATTTAGATAAAGCTCCCATATATAGTTTCGTCCGATTTCATGTAAATGGTGCACCAAAGTCGCTAGCTATATATCTTTCGATTTGCACGAAATTTGGTACAGCCTAATCATTTAGGTCTAGAATGATGTCTGCCAAGTTTCGAGAAAATCGGTCCAGATTTAGATATAGCTTCCATATATAGTTTCGTCCGATTTCATGTAAATGGTGCACCAAAATCCCTATATATATTTCGATTTGCACGAAATTCGGCATAACGTACTGAGTTGAGCCTAGAGTGATGTCTGCCAAGTTTTGAGAATATCGGTCAAGATTTAGATATAGCTCCCATATATAGTTTCGTCCGATTTTATGTAAATGGTGCGCCAAAGTCCCTATATATCCTTCGATTTGGACGAAATTTGCCATATCGTAATGAATTACGTCTAGAATGATGTGTGTTAAGTTTACTGAAAATCGGCCCAGATGTAGATATAGCTCCCATATATAATTTTGTCCGATTTAATGTAAATGTTGCACCAAAGTCCCTATATATATTTCGATTTGCACGAAATTTGGTATTGCGTAATGAATAAGGTCTAGAATTATGTGTGTTAAGTTTCGTGAAAATCGGTTCAGATTTAGATATAGCTCCTATATATTTTTTCTTCCGAGTGTGTGTAAATTGTGCACTAAAGACCCAAAGTTTGTCTGATTTCCACACAATTGGTACAATGAACTGTAGTTACTATAATACATTTCCTTTACATTGCTTTATATAATTTTGTCCCATTGTAAGAAGCAACCCTATATCTGACCAAATGAAAACTTTAGTGTAGGTTACAGAATGACATGTTTATGGATCCATTTTCATGTTAATGGTCCTTCAAAAATTCGACGTCTGTTATGATTCATCTGTTGAATATACCCAAAGTGGTGAAGGGTATCATATAGTCGGCCCCGTCCGACTTTACTGCTTTCCTTACTGGTTTTTTTTAGAACAGCAAACGATAGAATATTTTTCAGTTATTCTAAATTTTTCAGTTTACAAAAGAAGTGACTATACCACATTACCAACCTATACCACATTTGCATCACCTCCTCTAGGGTCGACCCGTCCGTCTATTTTACTTATTTAACTTGTTTTATATTGAATTTAGATAATAAATATATATAAATAATATTATTTCATTAATTTTAAAGGAGGATGTTTATGTTCACATATAAAAAAGAATAACATTTTATTCAGTGGATACTTTTGACTGTGACTCACTGATCCGAACATAGAATATAACCTTCCAAATTCTATGACTATTTCTTAACACGTTGACGGACAGTTGCGTCTATAGCCGTCAAGTTTAAGTTCACTATGTGACATGACGGCTGTAGCAGCACAAATGTGCATTGACCAGCGTACAAGTAGAAGCCTAGTGTGATGTTTTCGAATTTCACTTCTTTCTACTGTCCGTCAACGTATTAATATCTTTCCGATCACACAGCAAATATTAGTTGAACTAATTTATCATTTTGTTGTAAAAAATATTCTATTAAAACTATTTCTATTAAATGGTGGTTAGAAAAACAGTAATAGTCTTTCAAGACATCGACCCACGTTACATCAGTGTTCATTAGTACACAAATATTGCCTTATTAATTTTAGATGTTCTGACAAAGTTACTTAGGTATTTTAAATCTATATCAGTTACGTGTATACAAAAAATGATATTTCATATAATTAAATTAAAGACAAAAGTGATATTTTCCACTCTACAATACTCTCAAGTTCAACACTGCAACTTACCTCCAATTTCTCTCAGGTCATGGGAAATCAATACGTAACATAAACAATTCGACTGGCATCTGTCGATGGCCTTACCTTTATTGTATGATTTACATTAGGTGTGTCTGGTTACCCTAAAGTTTGTAACAATTGTTACAAATTGTTACTGGAAGTCGTCTGTTAACCCAAAAGTTCTGCAAAAGAGAGCGGTTGGAGAGAGAAATTTTGACAGTTCTTTCAGTGAGAGTTTGCAAATTCTTGCTGGAAAAATTTCTTCTTGCAATCTCTTGCAACTCTTCTTCTTCTCATACATCGACATTCAATCAGATGTTTTCTATTGTTTGTTTATTTATTTTTGTGCTTTCAATTTGAAAATAATTTTTTTTGGAATTAGCAAGACTAATTGTTTTTGGAGAAAAACTTTACAAAACGAGAAAAACGTAAGTATTAATATGTAATAGGAAAATAAAAGACTATTTCCAGCATTTTTAGAAAAATGACGGAAGAAGATCAGTGTGTCTCTGTAGCCAGTGGCAGTAAATTATTAAGCCCAAATATGGATTTGGATATGCAGAAAGGTAGTTATGATGGTTTCCAACTTATTTTTTTACATTTCTGTGTGAAAAGTGGGAATGGTACAAAATATAGCTCTGACTTTCTTCTTTTTAAGAAACAATTGTTAAGGTGGTTACTACATTGTTGATGGAATCATCCTCATCTGAAAGTGATGATGATGATGAGGTATTTTTTCAAGCAATATTGATAAGAGAGGACAAACTTTTCCATGATGTTTTACATATTACGAAGAAAAACAAAAGAAATGCGGTCAAAAAATACATTGAATGTATTGTGCCCACATACACGGAGGAAGAATTTAGAAGACATTTCCGTGTATCAAAAAGCCTATGTCAAAGGTTATCCAACTGGGACATGTATAAAAAAATGCGTCCAGACAAGAAATTCTCAGAAGAGACGAATATCCTGGTATTTTTGTGGTTTGCCGGCCACGAGGCGTGCAGTTATAGAGACATTGCAGACCGATTCGATCTATCTCTGTTTACGGTAGGTGCAATTATATCAAGGCGAAAAAATTAACTCGTCACATTCCTCAATCCCCTCGATACCACTTGTCAAAGCGTTCCTAAACTCTGTATCTAAAAGAAAAGCAAATGTCATTATACAAAAGTATTTTTATTCTATGCAAAAAAAACTTACCATTACTAACACGTTTAAAAGTTTCTGGGGAACACATCAAATCTATCTTTCTTTTATTGCTCATTTTTTTATTTTATTTCCTTTTTATTTCAAAAACTTGTTAAACTGGTTGTGTTTTCTTTCTTTTAATTCTTTATAATGGCGGACAAATTGGTTTGTTTTGACAAATCAGCTGATTAGTTGCAAGCTTCTGCAGGGATGCCGTCTGTTTACTTTTCGCATTTTTCTTGCAAAAGAGAATAAAACTACCTTACTCTCTCAGAAAGAAGTTACTGGACAATTCCTGCAGGGAAAGTAACCAGACACACCTATTATATAATTTTATTGACAATTAGGTGACAACAACAAAACATCAATCTATTGTCCATTCACGCATTGCATGCATCCATCAATGATTGGCGAAAAATTCAACTAAAAATATCCAAATAAAAATTGATTTTAATTTAATTTTAAATCAATTTCAATTTATTGACCATTTAAGACTTCACGACTTGCTGTTTTGTTTTGATCAGAACAACAATAACAAGAACGACAACCACAACCGCGATAATGACAAGTGAGAACAGTGGCAATAACAACACAGAAGCACCAGTCAAGCTTTTAAAATCCACAATAAAACAAACACCAACGACAAAAAAGAAAACAAAACGCGAATTGTCATTGTCACTAAATTAAGAGCAGAACGACGATGAACATGTGAAACATGTGATTGTTTCAATCACATTTTAATGACTTGACAATATTCAATGCGATGATGTTGACACAGAAATTAAATAAAAAAACAAAACAAACTGAAAAGCGTTAACAATTAGTTTTTGCTAAAAGGACAGTGTTACGAAGAGAGATATAGAGATGCATTTATAAGCATTATAAATGTGTTGATTAAATAATTTGTCTTAGCCTTATAAAAACAAGTTAAATAAGTAAAATAGACGGACGGGTCGACCCTAGAGGAGGTGATGCAAATGTGGTATAGGTTGGTAATGTGGTATAGTCACTTCTTTTGTAAACTGAAAAATTTAGAATAACTGAAAAATATTCTATCGTTTGCTGTTCTAAAAAAAAACCAGTAAGGAAAGCAGTAAAGTCGGACGGGGCCGACTATATGATACCCTTCACCACTTTGGGTATATTCAACAGATGAATCATAACAGACGTCGAATTTTTGAAGGACCATTAACATGAAAATGGATCCATAAACATGTCATTCTGTAACCTACACTAAAGTTTTCATTTGGTCAGATATAGGGTTGCTTCTTACAATGGGACAAAATTATATAAAGCAATGTAAAGAAAATGTATTATAGTAACTACAGTTCATTGTACCAATTGTGTGGAAATCAGACAAACTTTGGGTCTTTAGTGCACAATTTACACACACTCGGAAGAAAAAATATATAGGAGCTATATCTAAATCTGAACCGATTTTCACGAAACTTAACACACATAATTCTAGACCTTATTCATTACGCAATACCAAATTTCGTGCAAATCGAAATATATATAGGGACTTTGGTGCAACATTTACATTAAATCGGACAAAATTATATATGGGAGCTATATCTACATCTGGGCCGATTTTCAGTAAACTTAACACACATCATTCTAGACGTAATTCATTACGATATGCCAAATTTCGTGCAAATCGAAGGATATATAGGGACTTTGGCGCACCATTTACATAAAATCGGACGAAACTATATATGGGAGCTATATCTAAATCTGGACCGATTTTCTCAAAACTTGGCAGACATCACTCTAGGCTCAACTCAGTACGTTATGCCGAATTTCGTGCAAATCGAAATATATATAGGGATTTTGGTGCACCATTTACATGAAATCGGACGAAACTATATATGGGAGCTATATCTAAATCTGGACCGATTTTCTCGAAACTTCGTAGACATCATTCTAGACTCAATTCAGTACGTTATGCCCAATTTCGTGCAAATCGAAAGATATATAGCGACTTTGGTGCACCATTTACATGAAATCGGACGAAACTATATATGGGAGCTATATCTAAATCTGGACCGATTTTCACGAAACTTGGCAGACATCATTCTAGACCTAAATGATTAGGCTGTACCAAATTTCGTGCAAATCGGAAGATATATAGCGACTTTGGTGCACCATTTACATGAAATCGGACGAAACTATATATGGGAGCTATATCTAAATCTGGACCGATATTCTCAAAACTTGGCAGACACCACTCGAGGCTTAATTCAGTACGTTATGCCAAATTTCGTGCAAATCGAAAGATATATAGGGACTTTGGGGCACTATTTACATGAAATCGGACGAAACTATATATGGGAGCTATATCTAAATCTTGACCGATTTTCACGAAACTTGGCAGACATCATTCTAGACCTAATTCATTATGCTGTACCAAATTTCGTGCAAATCGAAAGATATATAGGGACCGTTTACATTAAATCGGTTAAATATATATATGGGAGCTATATCTAAATCTGAACCGATTTTTCCCAATTTCAATAGGGTTCGTCCTTGGGCCAAACAAATGAGCTGTGCCAAATTTCATCCAATTCGGATCATAAATGCGACCTGTACTTTGCTCACAAAAATACATGGACAGACAGACAGACGGACGGACGGACATGACATGCATAAATCGACTTAGAAAGTGATTCTATGCATATTCTCAAAAGGAACCATGTGTCTATCTCGTTTCCTTTTGCCTGTTACAAACATATGCACAAAGACATAATACCCTGTACCACAGTGTGGTGAAGGGTATAAATAAGATAGCAATGATCTGTTTAATTTATTTAACTCAGGTTGAGAATCAGTAGCAAAAATTAAATTTTTCATGAAATTGACTTTTATCGGTTGACGTTTAAAAATATGTTTTTGTTTTAAAAATGTATTTTAATCTTTATTATTAAAGCATTAAAAAATTAGTAAGTACTAAAAATCAAATAATATGCTCAATTGACCACATATTTACCAATTTAAAAAAAAAACTGTACGTTTATTCAGTAAACACAAGTGCAGGTAATGTGGTATACCTTGAGTCTGCATGAAAAAAAGCCAGAACAAGACAAAATCTCATTACTATTTGAAACATTTGTACTCTACGAGAGTCTACCATGAATCAGCATGTTAATTGCAAAATTTCAATTTAATCGGATAAAAAAATAAAAATTTCGCAATCTAAAAACAAATGAGTATACCACATTTGCATCACCTCCTATATTATAACCTAATTGGAGTAGATTTTATTTGACGTCTAAAGCCCATTAAGACAATTGGTCTGTTCCAGTACTTTTTTAATAGTAAATCTAGTAAAAGGGAAACATTTCAAAATTGCCTTCAGAGTACAAAATAATTTGAAAAGTTCGGCAACGCAAATCTAGTAAAATTAGATGGCAATACTTCAAAATCAACATAACAACCTATGGCATTCCTGTTTACCATTTTTACTCGACCAAATTTCTCTCTGTAAGAGTTATGCATAATATATGTAAAACATATTGCTATTTGAAATTCGTTATCATAAAGCACCAGATTGTACTTCTACTCACACTTTCATGGAATGAACCTCTTCCCCTTCATCGGTGTTTATCATCTGAAGCTCACTAGCAGTTTCCTTAACGGGGTTTCCGTATATTGTTTGATTCCGTTTTATGTAAAAACTATGAGAAGGAAAATAGATGTAGACCAATTATTAAAATATAAATCAAAATAATTTTATTTTGGAATATTTCCTGTCATGTAAATTACTATATAGAAGCATAATTTTTGTCCATATGACGTACAGTTTCCATTATCTATATATTTTTATGTTCTTCTTGTGGTAAATTATTAGATATAGTTTTAAGGCAGCTTTTGTCGTCATATATTCGGTACATGCGAAAAATATAAAAAAATTCAATATATTGCTTAATTTCGTGATAGTCTGATTTAATTTCAACTCAAAGATTTTTTAAATCGAATAAATTTGTTTGATGGGGTATAATATTTTATCAAAAACTTATGTGAAGTATTCATAAGAACTTTTTATTGATGCCAACCTAACATTGTCCACACTGAAATAACGTAGTTATGGCTATTGGTACATTCGTATCGTTGTTGTGACTCCTTCTTCAACCAGTAAATATTTACTTCCATATTTACTTCATCGAGGACACCATCCTCCTCAATTCGTCCCAGTCAATCTGTATTGCATGATGTGCCACTGTCGGATATTTTGAACCCCCAAAATTGTATTTATAATTATAAATACATTCCAATGACAATTTGATCACTGCAAAATTGTATGAGTTCTACTTTCTTTGGTTCTCATCTTCAATTTGTAATATAAAACAAGTAAAAAAGTGTCAATCGGTGTTGCCGACAGAACTTTGATCATTTGTGGGGGAGGTACCAGAAGGAGTGGACCAATGGGTCCCATCTTCGGACTTAATCTAGACTTCATAAGGATAATGGGTTGTGCAAAGTTTGGTTCTCATCGGACCTTCCATTCGCCTTATATTGGATTTACAAATATTTAAAATTTTGACCATTTTGTGGGAGGTAAGAGAAGGAGTTGACCAATGGGTCCCATCTTCCTACTTGATCTAGGCTTGGTAAAGATAATAGGTTGTACAAAGTTTCATTAACATCGGACAGTTCATTTGCACGTTATTATAAAATTAATTTTTAACACAATGTTCAAAGTTGGGTTCAAAACGCACATTCCGTTAGCTTGATATTGGTATAATAAATATTGAAAATTTTGACCCTCTGTGGGGGAGGTACGATAAAGAGTGGACCAGTGGGTCCCAACATCAAACTTGATCTAGGCTTGGTAAAGATACTAGGCTGTACAAAGTTTCGTTGGAATCAGATAGTCTGTTTGCATGTTATTATAA